TAATATTTTACATAAAAGATTATATGAGCATGACAGGCCCCTTGAGCAAAATATATATAAGAATAAATTGTCAAAAAATTGGAAAAAATATGAAGAAAAAATATGCGTGCATTTTGGTTTACCTCAACTATTTTCTCCTCCATAAGCCATTTCATTTGCATGTCCCCCACCCGGCCCACTTCCAATGAAATTATAAAAAATTTTAAGGGCCTATCTTAATCTTTATTTAAAAAAAATTAAACTGTTTTTAATTTGTTTTAAAAATAAAAATATGAAAAATTTGTTTGAATATGTGTTTAGGATTTAAATGTTTACAAAAAATATATTTTTTTAATCAACAAGCACATAGCTCAATCGGTAAAAGGTTGTGGTAGCTTAACCAGTGGCCTCGAATTCAAGTCCTGGATATGTAGCTATGTTAACACACTACATTTGAATATTGTATGCTACCATTAGCTAAGGTTAATCACTTAAATTAACCATGGGCAACCACATTTGTCAACCGATTTTTTAACTCAAACATTATTTTCAAATTAATATAAGGGTTAAAGGGCATTTTTTGTCTCTCAACTATTCACTAAAAGTGTTTGGTATCCAAAACTTACATGTGATGCAATTTTTCCTTTCAACATTTGAAAGTGGTACATTGAGCATCTTGCCGTTAAAAAAGCTATTCTTGACTATTAGTTGACAAAAAAAATTACAAAAACGACCTAAAATTATAGTAAAAGGACCCATAAAATTGCAAATAAGTATCTTATAAAAAATTAATATCAATTAAGTCCCTAAAATAATGATTGCGAAAATCATATTTTGGACTTTTACTTGGGTAAGAAATAAGATTTGTATCCTATTATTTAGATATTATTTAGGGGACTTAATTGATAATAATTTTCCTATAGGGTACTTAAGGATTCTTTTTGTAATTTTTAAGCTAACTAACAGTTAAGTTGACTTTTTTAATGATACGGTGCTCAATGCACAATTTTCAAATGCTAAAGGGAAAAATTGCCCTACATAAAAGTTTAAGATATCAGATGCTCCTGAGTGAATAATTGAGGGACAAAAATATCATTTAATCCTTAATATAATGAAATAGTTTTTTTTTTTTTTCTTTTGAAAAATGGTTTTAAAATTTTTTTTACAAAATAGTTAAACAAAAAAAATTGATGCAAAATCAAATAAGTCCTAAATTTTTTGTTCAAAAATAAATTATTAATTATAAAATTTATATGCTAAGCAATATCACTAACGAAAACGAACTGATTTAGTTATTTCCGAAGTTTTTTATGTTGACGGAGTTATATGGTGATTGAGTAGGGGTTAATGGTTGATTTGGCAGTACAAACTTCAGGATGTCATTCTAAAAACTTGGGCTATAATTAAGAATCTTTTTTTTTTTTGGCCAATATAATTAAGAACGTTTTTTAAAACTCGCTAAAAGTACAGAGATCAAAGGTTTAATTTCTTTTTTTCATATAACAAACCCATATTTTTTTTTGGAAAACATAAACCTCAATCATTGTTCCTAATGAACCCACAAAGTATTAATAGGATATACAATATGTTAAAAAATATTAACAAAATTTGAACTTATCCGAAAGAAGACGAATTGCCTAGTATTGTACCAATAGTGGTCATAATCTTGGGACATGAATGAGAATGTGATATGGGAGTATAAGAAAAATAAGTAAGACTTGTTCTTAATTAGTTTGTAGCCTTGTGTGAGCTTGACAATATAAATTAATCATATTAATCTGTTGGTGCACAATCATAATTCATTAGTATTGGTGGGCACAAATTGCTTTCTTTGTTTTTTGTTTTTGTTTTTTCTTTTTTTACCAGCAAGGATGATATCATTAAGCAGCGACAGTGGTGGGGGGGGGACCAGTAGGGGCCATGTCCCCTCTAATTTTTAAAATTTTCTTTGTATTATATAGGTGTTACAAACTTTTGGCCCCATAAAATTTATGAAAACTTTGTAGGATATATGTTTTTTGATCTTGGCCCCCTTCTTAAATCCTGGCTCCACCCTGAGCAGGGGCAAAAGAAACCCACGTTCAACAAACAAAGTACAAAAACCAACAGACAAATGAAAACTGAATCCCAAATAATTAAAGATGGAATTGCACCACATGTAAGGTTAGGATAATAGATACTTCTAAGAGAATAATTGAAAGCAAAAATGCCCTTTAACCCAAATTTTTATAACATAAATTATTTGACCTCTAAAAAGACCAAAGACGATTTTAATTTCCATGATCGTTTGGAAATGATTAATCATTATATGTAACGTCCTAAGAAAATTGTTTTATTTATTTTTAGTTTCTTCTTTTACATGTCAACACTCTGCTCAAATAATTATTAATTATTATCCTGGAATATTAAAAAATTTAATTATTGATATATCAATAAATTTCTTTGTTTATTATTATATTTGATAACATTTATAATTTATTATTATATTTATTTGTTTCAATAAGTAATTAGTGGTGTTACTTTCTTTACGTCATATATTTACAATTGAGTTGACTTGAAAATAAATGAGTATGAAAAATGAGCAAGTTTCTATAAAAAAGACTCAACATGACCCAAAAAAAAAAAAAAGACTGGACAATTTTCTCTTTTTCAGACCAAAAACTTCTCCTTGAATGGTCACCATCCATGATTTATGTTTCTCTCCATGACTACAATGATGAGTGAAAACAAAGACCAGACATATCAATAGCATTCGTTGAACCACACTATTTCAAATAAAATGACATAGAAAATATATTGATTAAAGACATTTTTGCCTCTTAGCTATTTAGATAGAAGTGTATGATAACAAACCTTGCTGATAAGTTGTAATAAACATTAATTTTGATGGTTGGTTGATTTAAATAATAACAAAATATATATCTATATATATATATAAAGACCCCATAAATTATAAATAAACATTGTATGAAAAATTAACATCAATTAAATCCTCTAAATTATAAATAAATTTTGAAATACAAGGACCCAAATCCGGACAATACGAGATTTAACTTTGGATTTTTCTAAAAGAAATTCTTAAAAACTATAACTGACCAGAGAAATGTAAGGACCTAAATCTGGACAATACGAGATTTTCTATATCCTTAAAAGTTTGAATATTAAATTTCCTAGTCACTGCTAAATTACGAACTATGCAAAATATTTGATTCTAGGCGTGAAAAAAAAAAAAACAGCAAGATTCACATGGATAAACTGCAAGATATTATTCATTTGATGTGTATCCAGTTGAGATTAAATATACCTTGATTTGGTAGCAAATCCAGCTATCTAATTTCTTACTATTTTATTTTTGACAAGCTCGTGGGAAACTTTTTACAAGTTCAAGTCTTTCGACTTTGACATTGCCACTTGATACTTTGGGTGAACTTAATTTCATGTTTGGATGAACTTAATATCATGGACATGCTTGATCTAAATTCCCAGTAAATTCAAGCCTTTGTTGCATATTTATGAAGAGCAGAAATAGCATCAAGGGTGAAATTATGAGTAAAAATAAACAAGTCATTTTCTATTGATATTTCCTGGTGTCTAAAAATAAATCATTGATGATTCTTAATTTAACTTTGGCTATTTTTTTAAGTAACACAACCTTATTTTTATCTAACAATAAAGTAAAATTTGTAACAATATTCTTTTTTTTTTTGGCCAACAACAACAACAATAATTGTTAGATAATATACGGCACATTCAAATTCTAACAAAAAAGATCTACTTTATCATGCCCATTTGTTGAACACTTACATTGGGTATAAGTATGACAGAAAGCTACTGGGCTAGCCAGGTGGGCCTATATCTATGGGCTTTAAGCACAAGTATGGAGACCATGTTAGAATTCATCATTCCCTTTAAAAAAACTAAAACAGAAATTATAATAGAAAAGAGTGAGACTTTGAATTGCAATTATTATAGCAAAGAGAAAAGGACTTTAATCTCCTTACAACTTTGCTAACAGATATTGAACACAGGAACTTGAACATTTAACAAGAAGGAAAAAGAGATAAAGAGATAAAAGAAAATTTTAGATAAAAGAGAAAATTTAATTCAAAATATACATGGTAGATATAGCTTCTATGAATGATGATTTCTAACCCTTCTACTCCTTTTCTTTTGTCGACAATCCACCCAACTTGAAAGCCATCGTGGTTTACTAGTAAATATCACAATCCAAAACATTGTTGATCCAAATAAGGTTCCACATACATATCCTAGCAAGACAGGTCTCCATACAAATTCAAATCTAGCTTCAAAACTTGAATTTTGTGGAGGTGGTTGTCTTTCCCCATTAGGGATGTAGGGAATATTTAGTTGAGAACCATGCAGTTCCTTGTTTCCTTTGAAGGAATCACTTGTGAAAGTCTCAAACTATTGGCCCCTAGGAATGCAACCTTCAAGTTGGTTTGTGAAAGGTTTAAGATAGATAGAAGTTGAGATTGGTCAACTCTATGGGAATTTTTCCAATAAGCTTGTTTGATGACAAGTCCAACCATTCTAAATTTTTCAAATTTCCCATTGAGTTTGGAATTAGACCAGTGAGCCTGTTGTGTGAAAAGTTGAGTCCCTTCAATGCAGTAAAATCCCCAATAGATATTGGAATATCTCCCTCAAACATGTTATTAGACAGATCAATGCATGTGAAAATAGTCAAGATCTTTTCTATTTGGAAGTCCAACCCTTTCAAAGTTAACTCAATGGAGTCTTGATATGTTCCAAAAACAGTAGAGTCATGACCCATATATTCTAAACCAATATTGGCCTCTAAATTTTTCATAGCATCAAAAGATTTAAAGTATGCTACTGGTAAAGAACCACGTAAATTGTTGTTAGATATATCAAAAACTCTCAACTTTGTAAAGGTATAGTTGTCTTTGTTTTTTGCATTAGGGATAGAGCCATATAATTTATTCTCTCTAAGGACAAGCACCTACATGTCCTTAAGGTCATGAACCCAACGGGGAAATTTATCTTGAATACCATTTTCTACCAAGATCTAAAACTTCTATGTTTGTGCAACGGACCAAAAATTGAGGCAACAAGCCATAAAGAACATTATCATTAAGATTTAGGGTCTTTAGCTTGTTTCCCTCCTCAAATGTTTCTAGTATGGTGCCATGAAAGCTATTGTTTTGCAAATCCAACACATAAAGAGAAGCAAGGCTAGAGCTTCCAATGCATTGAGGAATGGTGCCACTAAAGTTGTTATGGGAAAAGTTGAGACTTTCAAGTGAGCTAGCATTGCAAACTGAAGAAGTGATCTCTCCTTGAAGCAAGTTGAAACTCAAGTCAATGAAACGCATGTTTTTCCAAGACAAGAGATGCAAATGAACTCCTCCTACAAGAAAGGTCCAAAGATAGAGTTAGTTGAGTAAAAAATAACAAGTAGTCCCTTGAAAAATTTTACTCTTCTCCTCTACAAATTTCAGTTGTTCCCACCAAAAGATTTATTTAACCCCAATTTTTTTAAATGGAAACATATATACTTGAAAATATAATTTTCTATCATATTGATTATACAAAAAATATATTGTTTCTTTAGTCATTATAATTAATAACGATTAACTCCCTAAATTAGAGTGATAATTTATAAGTCTTCCTCCAAATTTACACATCCTGCCAAAATTTATAGCAAGTGTAAAAAGCATGTTCTTGTGTAAATAACATATAGACTTGTTAAGTTGTAAATTTCTAAAGAATGTGTAAATTTCAAAAGTTAATTTATAAATTGTGTGTGAAGATTTATAAAACAAATATAATATTTTTAATTATTTATTGGTGTTGCTGCCGGCAAATATGATCTATTAATTACTTAATAGATGGATAAATGGTTGGTTAAAATTTTATGTTAGTCTTTTACATGGTTGAGAAATAACATTTGTATCTTGGTATTTATATGTAACTTAGGGGACTTAATTGATATTAATTTTCTTATAATGAACTTATGTGCAATTTACTACTTCCTTTTCTACAATTTTCAAGTCAACTAATAGTCAAAAGTTAACTTTTTTTAATGTACACAATTCACCACGTACAAGTTTAGGATAATAGACTCTCCTGAACAAATAGTTGACAAAAAAAATACCCTTTAACCTTAAGTTTTATTTTATTTCAATTTAATACATATTTATTATTATATTTTCATAAGATAATAATATTTATATTATAAACAATGTTTCCCTTTACTAATCTTTTTAGGTTGCCATTAATGCATTGTGTAACATCTAGAGATTTAATCCAAGAAATTAGTTACTAATAAGGGGAAATTAGTGATTAATAGATTGATTATGGTTTAGATGTTGGGTTGAAAATTTGTGTTGTTTGGTTGCTATGTTGATGGGGTCGGATGGTGGAATGACAATTTGGGATATAATGCACGAGTACTAGTGAGATTAGTCTCACTGTGACATGCATTACGACATGTTATGCATGCACTGCAATGCATGGCACATGATTTGGACAAGTAAGGATGTGGATTAGTTGGAAAAAGGGAGAGAAATCATATAGGAGGTGAAGAGAATGCTTAGCTCTACTAACACATCCAATATTCAGAGTTCAAGAGTTTGCTTTAGCCAGTGATTTGTCAAGTAAGTTTTGTATCGCCCTGTGCTACATTTCTACCCTACTTACTTTAAGTTTGGTCGGTATCAAAATTGAATCAGGGAGTTTTAAGGAGTTAAAATTAAAGGGAAAGGTTTAAAAAGGGCTCTTGAGTGTGAAACTAAGGTTTTGTGACTAGCTTGAAGTTTAATGGTTGAACCTTAAGGATTTAGGCTCAAATTAGCCTAAAGAATTAGGTTAAAAGGGGAGAAATTGGTGAATGGATGAGTTAAGAGGGTGTTATGGTCATTTGAATATCACATAAGGCCAATGACTATAGTGTAAGGATTATATGAAGTCAAAGAATCTTAATTTAGTTATTTTGTGCATTGAGAAATTTGACTTAGCTAAATCAGTGCCCATGCTAAATGTTGGAAATTGACTGATGGAAATTGCATTATGTAGATTGAGCATTTATGACATTCCTTGTGAGAATCTATACCCTTGAGAGCTTGATAGGATTTGTATCCTTGGTAAGAAGGGTAAAAAGGTAACTGGAGTAACCTTTATATTTATTGATTTGTAAAATTGTTACAAGTATTTTATATATAATTGAATGCATTGTGTTTTATGAACTGATAGAGTAGCAGTGTTGGAAAAAGAATATGCATGTGAGTATATGAGTGATGTTTGAAACATATGCGAAGTGACATGTGCATATGCATTTGCATCTGTGAGTGTACTATAGACTAAGATAGGGGGTCACGGCCCTACTTTGTGTAAGGCTAGGAAGTCCTGAAGTTCTTAAGTGTAGAGCTTGATTCCACCACAATGTACCTAGGAGAGTGATCTACGAGTGTACCTTAGACTAAGGTAAAGAGTTATGGTCCTACTTTATATAAGGCTAAGAAGTCTTGATAGTCCAAACATTGAGAATGCTCCACTAAGGGGACTCAGGAGACCGCCCATACTGATGATTCCTAGATTGAGATAGTAGTTGTGGGCCTTATTTCGAGTAAGGTTTGAAGTCATAGTTTGAGCATAGAGCTTGCTCCGTTAGGGGAATCAATAGTGCATAAGCATAGTTGTGAATGGGATTGTGTGCATTTATATCTATACTGCTTTATTGAAATAATGCTACTTTATCTCTTGTTTATGATTATACTTATTAACTGGTATTTGCGGTTTATCTAAGTTACTGGGACGTATCTCTCGCTCCGTTACCTTTGTTTACAGGTGAAGAGAGCACAAGAAGGTGAGGAAAGGAAGTAAGGAAAGAGTAGCCTCGATTGATAGTAGTATGACCACTTATATGTAATGAATGTATAAAGTTTTGGTTAGAGTTTTGAGTTGCCAACTAGGATGCATAAGTGTATGTGAATATGAATATGTAAATGTGTATTTGATTTGTGGTTGAAAACTTACTTGTGGATATGATACTGCATCTCGCCGAGGTTACCACAGTGGTGGGTAAGTGGGTAGGCCTAGATGCCAATCAAGCATGTATGTGTCATTGTATAACTTATTCTACTTGAGTTGAATGTGAATTGATTGTGGAAATTATGTGTGTGTGTGTGGGGGAAACTTGACCCAATGATAAGGCTTAGCCCTATTGGTATAAGTCAAATAAATTTGTGATTCCCAACCATATGGCGAGATTTAGCCTCATATGTTAGAGTTGGATAATTGAAAGTCGAACAAGTTTATGTGATTATATGTTACACCTCATATAAGTCCACAAGTGTGTAATATGGTATTAAGAGGTCAAAATGAGTATTTGATGTTGTTATATTCTATAATGCATTAATCAAGTATATGTGGTCCATTTGGACTTTGTTTAAGGCCTAAAGTGATCTGATAAGACAAGGAATGAGAACTAAAAGTGTCGAATTTGAAAGAAAAGTGACTTTTTACACCTTGATGTCTAATTTTAGATTGGATTATTAGATTGTGTCCAAACTTGTCTCATTAGATATAAAATATTATAAGCTTCATATAGGTGCTTGAATTATTCTAATTGAATGTCAGATGTGAAATTGGCATTCAGTGGAAGTTTGCCCTACAAACTGTCATTTGATGGCAAAATTGTTGTCAAATGTGCCGCAGTGCATGGCACAAAGGGAAGAGCTCGGGGCTCTATACCATATGTTGTGTGTGAGCCACACCGCATGGCCCCTTTTTGGAGAAAAATAACTAGTTGTTTATTTTATTGTTAGACTTGTATTTACACTTCTGTTAGTCCTATTATTTGAACATGCTTTTAGTGAAGTCGGGATCCCGCATTTTGAAAACAAATTAAGGGATACTACTTTAATATTGTATTGTTACGGTATGTTTGATGTGTGTATAAGATGGTAAAGTCTGGGTTAAGTAAGGAACTTTATAGTTTGGTATCAGTTTTCTTTGGTGGTTTATTTGTGCATTATATCCACCTTAGTTGGAAACTATTATACATTTATTACTTTTTTCGGCCTTTAACATATGACTTTACTCCTTAGGAGGGGAGAAAGGCACGTAGAGCTATAATAGTACTACAGTGACTATGAGATGATGTGGTAAAATTTCACGTCATACATGGGGTCAAAGTGCCTAAGATATACATGAGTTGTATGATGTATAATATGTTGTTAAAGTTTGAGTTATCAACTAGGATTCAGAATTGTATGTGAATATGAGAAAGTGGTTTATGATGTAAAACTTGCTTGTATATATATATGATATTGCATTATGCCGAGGTTGCCCCCGTGGAGGGTATGTAGGTAGGCTTAAATGCAAATTAAGCAAGTATATATTGTATTATAACTCGTTTCACTAGTGTATATATGTGATGAGTAAGTGTTGACTGTGATTTGAATAGGAATTGAATGTGTTTTGTGTTATGATTTAAGAACTTAACATGAATAGAACTTAACACAAATGGTGAGATGGAGCCCTATTTGGAAGAGTTGAGTACATTTGTGATTCTTGACCATATGGTAAGGTAGAGCCCTATATGTGAGAGTTGAAAGGTTGAAAGCAGAATATCTAATTATATATGTGATTATATGTTATATTTATGTTTTCCTCATATAAGACCACCATTGTGTAATGTGGCTTTGAGAGGCTAGAATGGGCTATTGATGTGATATATGTGCATTGTGGTGTCAATTAGGTGTATAAGATCTTTTTAGACTTAGTTCAAGGCTCGAAGTGCTCTGATAGGATAAGGAATGAGAATTGAGCGCTTTGTGTATAAGTTTTTGAAAAAAAGTGACTTTTTGCACCTGGATGTTCAATTTTAGATAGGATGATCAAATCGAGTCTAAATTTATTCCATTAGCTAGTATACGTTATAAGCTTTGTGTAGGCATTTAATTACTCCAATCGGATGTTGGATGTGAAAATGGCACACGCCAAAAGTTCATTATTTTTGTTGTCAAAATGATAGCAAAAATTTGGATAGGCAGCCTCGACGCATGATGTGCCCACCGTGGCGCATAACGTAGTTAGAAATAGAGCATATGATTCTATGCCACATGCCACGGCTCACATGTTACATGATACGGTGCATGGCCCTTTTTTCAAGGTTGAGAAGTTATGGCTTTTTAAGTCATTTGTTTATGTTTACGCTTCTGCTAACCCTCTTATTTGAATATATGTTTTTAAGAAGTCAAGATCCCATGATTTGAAAACAAATAAAGGGCTATTACTCTGATATTATTGTGATTTTGATTTGTTGATTGTCTGGTGTGGAATGATAAAGCCTGATTATGAGACAAGACTTTACAGTTTGGTATCAGTTTTCTTGCCTCCATTCAG